TTGTTTTATACTTCCTAAAAACATATTTTTTTTTCTAATCGGTATATTATTAGGTAAATGCAATATGGTCGGCTACGGACGGTCGGGGGGTTTGATTCCTACCCCCTGCGAATTATTGCCCTGGCTTACCTAACTTCTGCACTATTGTTTTTGTATTTTTTCTAATACGTACCTCTGCGAAACTGCCCGCTTGCTGCACCCGCCTTCTACCACACACACTGTGCTTGCTTCCTTAACCCGTACGCGCTGTTTTGGGGAGCTTCTTTGGGACGCGGCTTTGGAATTTTTGGGAGCTTCTTTGGGATGCGGCTTTCGGTAGCAATTTTGAAGAGCAACTTTGGGGAGCAACTGTGGGAAGCAATTTCATTGATGAACAATTACTTTGAAGAACGACGGTTTTGGGGAATAGTATTAGAAAGCAATTTTGGGAAGTCACTTTTGGAAACAACTTTCGGGGGCAGCTTTAGCAATTGTTCGGAACAACTTTTAATAATAACTTTGGGGAACGGCTTTGGGGAACAACTTTGTGGAACAGGTTTGGAGAACAGCTTTGGGGAACAGGAGTAACTTTGAGGAGCAACTTTGCAAGGCAGCTTCGAAAAACAATTTTGAATGGGGAACAATTTTGGGGAGGAGCTTTAGAACGCAACTTTGGGGAGTAGCTTTTGGCAACAACTTTGGGGAGCAGCTTTCGGGAGCTGCTTTGGAGAATAATTTTGGGCAGCCGTTTTTGGGATCAGATTTGCAACGCGTGGCAGGCGTGGTACTGATGGCACTGGGCTGGCTCTGGTGGCGTACCGGGCTCCCAAATGACGCCGTGGACGCCGCGGCTTTTTGCGTGGCAGACATGGCACTTGATGACATCCATCTTCATTTTATATGGCAGGTATGGCATTTGGTGATATTAACTATTACTTTGCGTGGGAGGTATGGCATTGATGGCAATGGGTTGGCTCTGATGGCGCACCGGGTTCCCAAATAACGCCGTGGTCGTCCGCTTTACTTATTTTATAGAGGTATTTTGATGGGAAATAATTTTAGAAAATCGTTTTGGGGAATAATTTTGATAATTTTTCCGGAATAATTTTGAAGAATAATTATTTTGAAAAATAACAATTTTGGGGAATATTATTTTACAAATTATTTCGGAAAATAATTTTTAGTAACAATTTTGGGAAGCAATTTTCGGGGACCGTTTTGTAGAATAGTTTTGGGGTGCCGTTTTAGGATAGAAATAAGAAGAATCGAGCTTTGGGGTAATTTTTTGGATAATAATAAATGTGGGGAATAATTTTGGGAAAAAATTGGGAAATAATTTTAAATAAGTATTTTCGGAATAATTTTAATATTTATTTTGAAAAATATTATTTTTCGAATAT